TACTTAAAATTTAGGTGAAAAAGATGTGTCTAAGCCATGAAGGGACAGAAATATATGTACCACTTGCTGGACCACTTGACCAGTTGTGTCCACGAAAAGTTTTCTCTTATTGTAACTCCCAATCACCACCGGCTTTTATGAGTCCGAGGAAAGAGACGTCTCGTGAACTGCGGATGTCCCTCTTGTTGTCCTTGCTTTGCACCACCATTACCTAGCTCCGAATCTGCTGCGCTATCAAATACTCATTATTCAGCCTCGTTCACGACCAGCTCCCAAATATCAGTCGTAAAAACATAGAAATTTTTCGGTTCCATGCACCGATCCTCCACACCGTCGGTTTTTCATAGTCGCTATCAATGAAAAGCCGGTCAAGCCCGAAGTAGAAGTCGTCGTTAGCTGACATGGCTCAAAGCCATAGTATAAAATTCTTGGCTATCGAAATTAATCCAAAACGGTAAACAAGAAAATTCAATAAAAGTAGGGAAGTCGGTGGTATCAAAACAGAGGTGGATGAAAAAAACCTACGAGAAACAAAAAGAGTGATGTGATGAAAGAAGTATAGGATGGCAACAACCCCACTTGGAAGAGCCCTATGTACCATTCTGGTCATCTAGAATATTCAACAAAATTGGTATAACAACAATCTTACTTCCCTGATGAGAATTATAGAAAACCTCAACGATTCCTTGACGTTGCCAACTTTTATAGCTATTGATTGATCTTCGAATTCATTTGTACTCGTTAGTTAGTTAGTTAATTCTTTTAACAGGGATATCTCAGCTCATCGTCAGCTTTACTGACTGAAATGATAACTAGCAAAATCTAGAAAACTTTGTCAACAAGGTGGAAATTCCCCTAGAGGTTGGATTTTTTTAAATGAAACTTTTGATTCCAAATAAATACCATATGACAGGTACATCTTAACAAAGTTTCTACTTCTTTTTATGAAAAGCCAAAGTCTTTTCTACCAGCACCCTAGGTGGTAAAAATCGTGAGACCTCTGGTTACCGAGAATTATCGGCAATCATTAGAAAACCAGCACTGTCATTGTCTAGAAGCGAAGTGCATGGTACATTTTGCTGTCGTGCACATGCACTTTTCATAGATTGATCAAATTTAATCGAAATGCCGTCTTCGTTTAAATATTTACGAGCCAGGGCATAAGCGGCGCAATGAGGGAGATGCGTGTCGAATGATACACCCAAGGTCATTGTTCGAACTCGCTCAGGGCCAAATAAGCATGCCATCACTCCGTGGTTGGGCAGTGAAATTGCTAGTACACATGTCTGGGGAAATTCGCTCCAATTTACAGATGCTGACAATTACCTGCGGTGAAGACCTGGGTACATCACAGAGCGGTTACTTCGGCACTCGAAGGCGAATCAACCCTACCAGCATTAAGCGACACAGCTAAAGTAGATCTTCCGCAAGCGACGATAATATTCCGCAAGCCAATAAGGAGTGTTAGGAACTTGTCGGTATTTTTTATATCCACTCATTCTATACAGCGACCTTGATTCAAAAAGGGACTACAAGTGAAACAACAGTCAATTGTTAGTCAAATTACTACTAAATAAATTTGTTCGAGGTTTTTTGTTTATCTCTAGGTTTAGAAGAGAGTTTTTGCCAGCCAATGCCCTCCACATTAGTTGAGCAAGCTATCGATTCATTAGAAGAAGTACAGGAAAGGAGTTCTTGCGTAAAAGTAAACCATCAGGACTAAAACAATCTCTGTGGAAATCATATCGGTCAGAATTTCAAACTGTAAGTGATACTTATACAGCTCACTTCCTTCCGATCGTGTTCTAATCTTCAAGCAGAAGTTGAACCCATACAGGAATAGTTTGAAGATTTTCACGGATGGTGGATCGAATGGAAGAAGTGCAGGAATCTGCACAGTAGGTGTGAGAGACGGATCATGTAGTAATTAAAAATGTGTACTATGTATACATATTATCAATATGCTTACATTAATTGTCAGTCCACCATTCATTTACAAATTCTAGTTCGTTGAAACTCGAAAATTAGTACCCAGACAGTTTAACCATAATGATGCTGAGATATTTGCAAAACTGCTGACCGCAGATGTCTGTGCTGGGGATCGAACACTCACGCTACTACCGTTTCCGGTAGCTCACGCTTTCACCACCACACCATGCGGGTCCTTCGCTTTGCTTGTCTCTCAGCTAGTTTTTCTATGTACCAGTGCCAACAGCAATCACCCGTCTACGAGATTTTATACACATGTCAATATTGTGATTTTTACTGCAGCTTCAGCTTAACTGGATTCAATGCCGATTTTGCTCTCCAGATCAATCCATTTGATGGGTAACTGCCGATGGCAGTGGTAGATAGAAAAACTAACAGGGTGATGGGCGAAACGAACTACCAATATGGTGTGGTGGTGAACGCATTAGCTTCAGGAAACGGCAATAGCGTGATCGATTCCCGCCGCAGACACTTGCGGCCCTGCGTTTTGCAAATATCTCAGCCACATTATGATTGCATTTCATATAATGCCTTGCCGTAAAGAACTGTAGTAGGCAGCAAATAAAAAGTGAGCATTCAGACAATTTACTTATTCCAAATGGAATCTTGAAATGCCTTTTCATGACTGTCTGTTTGACTAGCGTAATACATAAAAGGATATTTACAGTTAATCTAGCCGAGTTCGAATTTTCATAAGGATTTCAAAAAATACTGTCACACTCCGAATAAAACCCAGTCATAGAAGGAAGCTAAGACGTAACTGTTATTTTTAAAATACAACGTAATAATAATCATTAATATCCCCAAGGAAAACAGGAAAAATTCTCAATGTTTCCTTCCACAATACTTTCTAATACCACAGTACTAAATTTTCCTCTGCATCCATAAAGGCAGTGTTATAAATTTACTTATGATTAAATGATGTTGCAGAAAAACTGAAGGTTCTGAATCGACACGAAGTTTATGTGGGCGGCTGTAAATGTTGAGATTTGTCTTGTGGCTTTGCAGACGAAACAGCCGGCTGATCAGTAGGTTTTTCCGGATCAGGTAAATTACAGAGATCCTGGTCACAGCAGCAAACTGTTATTTCCAACTGCGTGTGGTTCTGACAGCCAACCTGCAAGAGAACGTTTGTACATATCTATAGGACGATAATAGTACATTGCAGTGAGTGATATCGTGCAATACACCGCACATAGCCCTGGTTCGACCCTACACCTGACCAAGCGAACCGCGTCGATTCGCAGGATTTGGGACCGGGACATTGGTGCCAACCTAGTTTGCGAAGTTGCGTTCAGTTTACAAGAGCAGGTGACTGCATGCGATGAAGATCTAGGAACGTCTGAGCACGATTATTCCAGAGTTCTAAGAAAAATCGATCAGACCACCATTAAACAACGCTCAGAAGATTAGAAATCTTGAGACAGTGGCCGAAGCTACATGCAAATTCAAATGCCTTCTTGGACGACGGATGCGAGGAAACGAACACAATGAAAAAATTACTTGGATCCACACAATGCGTTACGACGAGTTATGTAAAATATAACTACAATAAAAGTTATTTGAAGAGCAGACAGGTAAAAATCGATGCAAATTGTGAAAATTGCGTAAAATGTGTAATTTGCAAAAATTCTGTACTGTAACCTGAATATGTTCAAGTATAACGTTTGTAAAAACAAAGGTTAAAGCGTTCGGCGTTGATCAATCCATGAGAGATGCGGTGTGAATACGACTTTATCAAGCATGCTTATAGGTGACTGAATGCATATATGGCATATAAAATGACTTGCAGTGAGCTACGGATGTATCAAGTCACTATCTCTATCCTGCAAGCATGTCTCGCACCAATTTGTCCAGATGAAAGGTTCGGTGAGCGCTGACCTCGGCATCTAACTATAGGCGGTGTGTGTATTGCAGGTCATCTCTAACCACTGCACTAATTGCTAGAACGTTTATAATATCAGTTAAAGGGTGCAGGAATAAAGAATAAAGAACCCATAAGCTATTGTGAACATTTAAATACTTTTACACACTGGAGCCATGTTTGTTCAAGTCTATCTCTTCCACATTAAGCAATCTTATCGGGGTGAAATGTTCTAGATGTCCAATTTTTATCTTCAATTACAACGAAGACTTCTGCATGTACGTTTCTCACGAGCAGCAATGCCGTTGCTGGCCCCAAGTTGAGCGACAAACTCTTCCAAAAGACGGCTCTTTTTTTAAAAAAGTACTGCATGCAGAGAATAGATTTTCTGGCTAGCTCCTGCTGGTGGCTCCTGATGCCCCTGTTACCAGTCTGTGTTAGCGTGGTTATCGATAGAATACAAAAATTGTAACAGACGGCCTCTGTGTGATTCAATAAACGCCCAGGAGAAAATGAGTTGATATCACTTCATGTCCTCCAATGGTAACATCATGTTCTTTTGTCAGTGCTAGCGTTTAAAAAAAATTTTCTTTCGAGAATACTAAGAAATGTAAGTTATGAAAGTATTCGAAAGACGTCACTTGACACAGTGGCCATTTGGAGCCGTCAACGGCTAACAGAAGTTGCGCTGGTATTTGCTTCATAATGGGATGAGTAGTCATTTACTTGAACTTAAATCATCGACTGTAAAATCGATAAACTTCGAGAAATCTCACTTTCACAAATATGAAGAGCTCTTCGAATTTCATTCTAGGAACTGAAACTTGTGTGCACAGATAAAGGGTAGAGGACAAAGTGTTTGACAGCGTCCATACCTTGCGGAGGCCGCTTGCATTCGGTTCAATACGTCACCTCGTAAAGGTGGGTGAACACATGTCTTGCATGTACAATGGATTACGGTGGCCTACCAACGCTTCAATCCAGTGTTTTTATGCTCCAGGACAAGTTTGGTGCCAACTTACTGAAATCGGAGTCATACGGGCTTGGTCGGCTCAAGGTGTGCGGCCGTATCAATGACCGCGTGTGTTGTGAGAACACTTCTGGCCGCTGCGCTTTAAGCGCCAGCGCGTAAACAAGATTCCAGTCGTCATATGATGAGACTAAATAAGATGTAAAAATTGTGAGGGCAGCTGACCTTGCATACATCGAGCAACTTCTGATCAGTATTCAGTGTCTGACAGGAGGCGGTGATTTCTGTTAAGTCGTCTGAATATGAGTCGAAGCAATGTTTCATGCCTTCCTCGCACTCATTTTCGGCAAACTCAGTCTTCAACACATCGTGCAACACTCCTTTCGAACCTACAACAGCCGTATTGTGCCACTAGACTCCTGGCAACTATGCATGGTGAGCGGTGATTCCAAACGCTTCAGTTTTTATCATAATAAGTAACAACCTACGACAACATCGTTTGTGATTCTAAAATATAACGCCTCAGGTGCATTTTACATCTAAGCATGCGTGCGGAAAGTCGAACGAGGTGCATTTCATCCAATGCCTCTTCTTTTCAGTGGTTTGTTTTGCTGCGGTGAGTTTTTTTTAACTTCATTTTTCTAACAAAACCGATAGCTGGTCCAACACAGATGTTATTGCAGGTGCGGCATATTAAAAACTGTTCTCTACACATAATACATTACAAAAACGCTTTTGCCGGCTAAGTTCACTGACCACAAACTTGGGTAATGATTGCTGTTATTCAATTCACAGTGGATATAACGTTTAGCGGTTGTCGGTGAGCCTCGGGTGTTATGTGTTAAGAAGAATCACAACGCTACATTCCTTTCTTTAAATATATTAATATGACCTTTGAACATAATTTTTTTATAGGGTTGTTCAGAAATAAATGAGCGTTGATAATTGCATTATTTAAAATGTCACAACTTACTTCAAAAAAACTTTATTGATCAGAACAAAAACTGAAGACCGACTTCTAGTTAACCTCGGCATTGATTGATAATTCGATGGTTCTCTTCAATAAGGAGACACGAGGTTGTTATTATACAATTTATTAGGGTACAATAGCTGACGTTTCGACGGTTTCGCCTTCTTCAGGGCCGCTTATTCGTTGTAAGTATTTCAGTCAGTTGGTGGATAGCAGCCGCACAGAGCAATACACGAGCGAGGACTGTCTTACAACGAATAAACGGCTCTCAAAAAGGCGAAACCGCCGAAACGTCAACTATTGTATTCTAATAAATTCTATAATATCAACCTCGCGTCTGCTTATTGAAGAAGAACATCGGAAAATAAAAACCATTTAAAACTGCACAGTTTTGCCAGCGAGAAACAAGTTTATCTACTTCTTTTAATTTTTATTATCTTTCAGTTTATCGTTTTGTACAGAACTGGGGAATTCTGGAAGCGATGAATTCGTTGAAGGTAGTTTTTGCATCATCGTGGTTGGTGAAGCATTTCTCGATCAGGAGGTTGACTAATGCCGGTAGTTGTTGTTGGAGTTTATGGTGCATTTTGTCGATTTGTTGGCAACACTTCTCTGCTGTAATCGTTTGGCCCGAATTCAAAAGGTTGTGATGAATCAGCCCGGTTACAGACCAACAAACAATCACCATAACCTTTTTTTGGTGAAATTTCAGCTTTGGGAAGTGCTGTGGAGCCTGTTCACAAGCCAACCATTGAGCTGAACGTCGCCGGCTGTCGTGCAGAATCCACTTCTCGTCGCGCGTCACAAATCGTTAGAGAAATGAGTCGTTTATGTTGCGCAGAATAAGAGCAGACGACACTTCAAAACGGCGATTTTTATTCACTACCGTTTAATTCGTGTAGCACCCTCTTGTCGAGTTTTTTCCTTTTCTTTTCCTATGCGATTCAAGTAAGTGGAAATTGTTCCTGCGCTTACGCCAAGCTAATCTGCAAGCTCTCGAACAGTTGGTCGCGTGTTTGCTTCCACTAGTGCCTTCAATTCGTCGTGTCATCGTCGAGTTTAGGGGGACATCCTCAGTATTCCTCATCTTCGAGGGCGAAATCACGAGATCGGAATTTCCGGAAGCAAGTTCGCACTGTTGATTCACCAACACTGCCTTCACTCCAAACTTCATTAATGTTTCGAACCGTCTCTGCCATATTATGACCGAGTTCAAACTCATAAAGGAAAATTTAACGAAAATTCGTTTTTAACATCTAAAATTCCAAGGCTCAAATTGCTGAAAAGTTGAACTCTTAACAAAATATAAAAGAGGAATAGAGGAGCATAAAATCAGCTTTCCAATAATATATAGTATTGCTAGAAAAAGACAACATTTTTTCGGCAAAAAAATGCATTAGAACAATGGATACTTTAAAACGTTCATTTGTTTTTGAACGTTTTAATAAAACGGTGAAGGAATAAATATCACTGAGATCTACGCCTGGCCTCATTAGCTTCCACGTAAGGACTTGCTGATGAGAAACAGAAATAAGCTGAAGAAATCGAGGGTCAATGTGGATCTGCGACGCTTTCTTGGCGGTTGTTTCTAAGCGTAGTCGGAGCAAAACCTCCTGTGTACTATTCGACGTCATCCTTAGCACTACCCTACCACGGCCAAATCATTTATTAATTTGAGGTTCTGATTATTTAATTCAGCATAATTTTAACTCTTTTCGTGGGATTTATGGAAACAAATTTTGTTTTTGTTGGCTACAATCCTATCCTGTGCTTTCTGTTCTCATGATTTGTTAAAATCATCAAAATATCGCGAAGGCTCACGTGGGGGCCTGGGGTCTGAGTTTTCCAAATATCTCAACATCATTCTTCTTCTTCAGTGAGCAAACACGAAGTTGGTATTGTGGCATTTATCAGCACACGATAGCTGACGTTTCGGCGGTTTCATCTTCTTCAGAGGCTGGAAGGGTAAAATTGAAGTGCAACCTACTCAGCCAAACACTTTCGTAACGTTCGCAGATAACACTTAACACATAGATTTGCATTCGCATAATAAACAGCTTTTTTAAATTACCTACCGTTTATTCGTTGTAAGCCTTTCAGTTAATTGGAGGAGAGCAGCCGCACTGACTGTTATATGGGCGAGGAATGTGCATGGGTCAGGTCATAGAATAATAGAATAATACAAATTATTAAAAATTCGTCTAGAAAAACACCTAGTCCGCAAATTTAGACGGAAACCGAACACTGTACTAGGCGCGCATAGAGCGCAAAACCATGGCGGGAAAGATTTTGAAGTAAAAGTCACTATTGTCGCAAAAGAATCCGAAGCATCAGTGCGTAAAACTCTTGTAGCGTTTTGGATTAATTTCAAAAATCCAAACGCGAACCTTAAGGAAGAGTGTCTTCTGGTCACGCATGATCTTTCACCATACCACAGGCTGATTTTCTGACCTGAGTCAGGCACACTTCCCACCCGTGTAATAGTCTGTACAGCCGCACTCCGCCAATTAATTGGAAGGCTTACAAGGAGCAAAACGATGGGTGTTTGAAAGAAGCTGTTTATTACGCGAATGACAATTTATGTGTTAAGTCTTATCTATTCCTTCCAGCGGTTTACCGCCTCATCGTAGCTGGGAAGTGCTCCTGAGTGTCGGGCTGCGATATACAGGGAGGGGTGGGGGATTCATCCTCCTGGCAGATCCATGCTGAGAAGAAGTCCGACGTATCCATCACTAAGCCCAGCTGGGGGAAGATCTTCCTCTGATTCACAAAGGCGGCGACTGACTGTGGTGGTGACGACCTAGGGCAGACCTTGGCCTGGTTGACCTAGGAACTCCAAGGAACCCCAACGGCTAAGCCGGCACAACTTCAAAAAAATTAGAGAACATGCTCGGGCTCGCACAACCAGTGACGACGGGCCATTTAAGTATCCAAGTAAGTAAGTCTTATCTGCTAGGGTTATGAAAGTGTTTAGCTGAATAGATTGCATATCAATTTGACTTTTCGATGTTCTGCATAAGTCGAAACCGCCTAAGTGCTGGCTATTGTGTGCTAATAAATACTATAATGCCAACCTCGTGTTTGCTCATTGAAAAAAGTGAAATATTTGTCAATGCCGAAATTAATAGAAACTCGGTCTCGGGAATATCTCATCATCATTGTAGTTATATTTCAGATAATATCCGACCATAAAAAAATAATAATAAGCATTAAATAAAAGGTTTCGCATTGTTATTTCGACAACAACCTCGAGTTAACTGGGTTTAATGCTGATTTTTGCTCTACAGATCATTCCCGTTGACGGGTAATTGGTGGTGGCGCCACTAAGGTAAAAACTGTGTGAAAGAAAGGCATGGTGGGAACTTCAGTGGTGCAGTGAGTAACATGTGAGCACTCGGAATAAGTGGTCATGGGTTTGGACCTAGATTGTGATCTGGGTATTGCAAATATCTCAGCGCCATTGTTGTTATTATGTAGGCCGTTTTATTGCGCGATCTTAATACATTTTATTTCATGCTCCGTAAATACCGTTTCAAACTTCAATCTTGTCGATATAACTCCTATTTAAAAGTGCCCTTTGACTTCTTTCTAAACAGGAGTTTTTCTTTTTACATGCTTCACGGAATGTAAAGATGTTTGAATATTTCTTATCACCACAATGGAGTTTATCCCGCACCTCGAGCTCACCAAGCCCTCATTTCTCTGATTTGGGCGGATTAGCACCAGATATTTCTGGAAAGACACTAACTTAATTACATTGGTGGGTTAGGCGTCACATGAGCGGAATATGTACTTGAACACCTCTACGAAGGCACGAATAGAATCGAACTCCTGGCACACCTCTGTGAGATTGACAAAGATCGAACACCTTTACTTTTATCTCCTATCCTCTTTCATAACACAACTTAAACAATTTGATGTCATCTTTGTGACTTTAGTTTGAAAAGTAGTGCATAAAGAGGATGTAACCACGGAAAGTAAACAGTGTTTCGTCAATATAAGCATTTTGCAGGTTGATAAATAGTTCGAGAAATGTGAACCGATACATTTGCTGAAGGCCGAAATTTATAAACTGCACCATTTATTTGAAGTGCGTTTAGCTCAATGGTTAGAGATGTCCTGCAATACACACGTGATCGATGGTTCGGCTCCTCGTCCATTGCTAGCGCTGAATCCCTCGGATGCCGGCGGGCTGGTATCAAACTTGTCGAGGAGGGAAGCAGCGCTTAGTTGATACATCGCCAGATCGGAGCAGGTCATTGTATAGTCCAGATATGCATTCATTCACCTCTACGATCTTACAAATAGAGTGAAATGCATGTGGCATCTCTTAAAAACTGTTCAAAACCGAATG